TGTAGGGGGACACGCCCGCCCGACTTCAGACTGGGGCCTCCGGGGTCCCAAAACGGTGCGGTGGCAGACCGTGCGCCCCAGGCCTCCTGCCCGGGGTCGGAGGGGACGGGGTCGGAGGGTCGCGCCGCAGCGCCGAGGCATCGACGGTGCGGCTCGCTGTGGAGCCCGGTGCTCCCCACGCCGACGTCGCGGAGGCGTCGCCGACGTCGCGCCGCCGATGCATTGGCGAGGCCTCGGCGAGGCGGCGCGACCCGTGGACCCCATGCGCTCGGACCCCATCCGGGAGGCCCCTCGTGCGGTGAGGCCTCTCGGGATGCCGAGCTCACTGCACGGTCCGCCACCGCGCTGTGTCAGGCGCTCGAGGATACGTCGAGCGCTGCCGGGTGCAGTCGTGCTCGCCCCCCGCGCTGGGCATCCCTCGTCGCCGGCACGAGCGTGGCCGTCTCCGGCGTCGGTGGGCGCTGGGAAGACCAGCGCTGCGTCAGCGCTGCGTGCCGCTGCCTCGCTGCCGCCCCCCCCCTTCCCACTGCCTCGGGCACAGAGGGCGGATCCCGGCCGGGCCCGTCCAGGGCCCAGGGTCGGTGGGTATGTCCCTCTGGCCGAGCCAGAAGGGCACCCTGCACGGTGTCGGTGCCTTTCCGGTTTCCCCGGGTCCTGGGCCCAGGGTGAGCTCGGCAAGGATCGCCGCAGTCTCGCAGTTCTCGTGCTTCTACCCTCGTCCACCCCGAGGCATGCCTGGCGGTGCCCTCAGCGGCGCGCGCACGTGCGCGGGAGTGCTCAAAGCCCTTCACGGTCTCGTCTTGCATTTTAACATCGACGCGCGGCCACCACGTGAGTTCGCCGACGATTCAGCCCGGATGACGTCGGCAGGTTGCTACCTACTGCCGCGTCAAGCGCGCTGGTATTTCTGACCATATGGTGGGCTGTGGTCCAGCTGCCCGCGGCGAGTCCTGCCACCGTGCCAGCGCCGACACTCTGAGCTTCGAAAGCCGTCCATGATAATCAATAATTTGAGAACTCTCGAGTCTAGTCCTTGAGGGGTTCTCATGGGGACTATCTGGGCAGTCTTGGGCTCCTCTTGCGTTTCTCATGTGCCCCCCCCCCCCCCGAAAAGGACGAGGGACTCGCGCATCGCTGTGACATCGCCCAGACCGTGATGCGCGACGAACTTCGCACCCTCGTAGTGGCCGTAGCTACATGAACGCATACGTTCGGAGGTCAGCGTTGATCTCTTGGGTCGACGCCGACCCCCCGCCTGGCGCGCGAAGCGCGCCTGGGGGCGCCCTCTCGGGGCCCTCTTGGGGCCTTCTTGGGGCCCACTTGAGGACCTCTTGGGCCCTCTTGGGGCCCTCTTGGGGCCCTCTTGGCCTCGTCCTTGTTGCTGTCCTGGGCCGTCTTGGGTCCCTCTCTGCCGTCTGGGGAGTTGCTTGGGTCTGTCTTGGGGGCCTCTTGTGGCCATCTTGGGGCCATCTTGGAGCTGTCCTGGGCCGTCTAGGGCTCCCCCTCCTCCTCTTCCTTCTCCTCCTCCTCCTCCTCCTCCTCCTCCTACTCCATCCCCCCCCTCCTCGAGCCACTTTCTCAGGCTTGCCCAGGTGCGTGGCTTTTGGCAGGTGCCGCCCTGCTTCCTTCCCCCCTCTCCCGCCCCTGCGCGCTCCCGGTGGTTGTGGCCGAGAGGCTCGACGCTGTCGCGGGCCATGTTCGGGCGGGGCGTGCAGTTGCCGTGTCGATCGTTGCTCATCCTGGCGATCAAGCTGGTGGTACAGGCAGCTCCAGGTGCCATCGGCCCTGCGGCCCATGGGGCACGCCTTGCAGCAGCTGCGCGCCATCCAGATGCTCGCCGGCTCCATGGTCGCGGTCGATCGGGGGCACGTGTTCAGCAGTGGTATTTGCAAGATCTCGCTCTGGCTCTACCCTCGGCCTGGTGATGGTGGTGATGCTCGGCCCGTACATGGACCTGGAGGTGCAGGAGAGGATGATGACCACGATGGCGGACATGGACGCCGCCGACCCTGTCAGCGAGAGCGTGATGGCCGTGACCCTTGGTGGGAGGGCGGTACTGATCCGTGGAGCGGTAGTGTCCTACCTGGCGGAGGCTGCTGGGCTCCTCGTTCTAAGGTGTCTCGCCATCATGCGGAATTGCCTGGCCACGTTCCAGGTGAACTTGCTGCGGTGCCGCTCTTCTCCTTCAGCGCGGATGCGAAGATTTTCGTCCCAACCTACGAGTGCCCGCCTGTGGTGATGCCGCTGCCAATCCAGTATGAGATGGAGAAGGCAGAATTGAATGCAGTCCGCCCTCGTGATGTTCCTCCTCCCGCTCCTGCTCTTGCCCGTGATGAACTTCCTGCGGCGGGTGATCCTGGCCAGTTGCATGCTCTCCATGGCTCTTTCCTTCGTGCTGTACGGGAAGGTGCTGATGAAGCTCGTGCAGTGGCCTCTCCTGCTGGTCTCCCTGGAGACTTGGACTATATGTTATATGGCAACCATTCGGAGTGTCATCCTTTTACCACTCTGCCAATGGATGGTCCCGATGGTGATGCATTTCGTGGTGATCTTACTGGTCATGTTCCGGCAGATCGTGATGTGCCTCTTGCTGGTGGGGTTCATGACCACGGTGCGCTTCCAGCTGTGCGCGATCCTGATTGGTATCTCGCTCTTCAGGCTTCACTTCGTGAGTTTCATGATGTGGCCCACGCTGTATGTAGTGATCGTCTGTCTTGTGAGCCTCCTGCTCCAGAAGGACCTCAAGCTGGCCCTGATCCAGGTGGTGGTACTCGTGATGGGCACGGTGGTGATGTTTAGGCGGTGCGTGACCCCCCACAAGGTGTACGGCCTTCTCTGGCTGATGTCTGTTCTGAATGTGAATGGTGCATCGGAGTCTTTGACGTGATCTTTCATCCCGAGCTGAATGGTCAGACCGGTCTTGTCGAGTCGATTCAGCCTGGCGGAAAAGATGAGCTTCGCATGTTTGTGGATGGACGTTGTATCTCTCTGCGAGCGACCAAGGTAGAGGAGACGCATGCCCCGTTCTTCCGCCAGTGTGTAGTGTTCGTCTACGGTGACCCTTCCGATGCGCGCGAGCTGTGCTCTTTCTGTGGTGCCTCAGCTTCTGATGGGGAGGAGGTCGAACGTCGCCCCGAGCTGCGGGAGGGTGTCTTCCAGCGGCTCTCCGCGAAGCAGAACGGATTCTAGTAGTGCTGAGCTTCCACGAGTGAACTGCTTGGGTTGGCTGTCTCTTCGTGCGGAACGGATTAGAGGTCAATTAGCAGTGGATTGTTTTGTTTCTTGTTTTCGTTTTGAGGGTTTGTTGTCTCAGTTTGCACATTACATCATCATCAACATTGTCATTGCCATCATCATCGTTTAATTTCAGCGCCAACATCAACATCAACAACATCATCCATCAACACCAGCATCGGTACCGCTATCAACGTCATCGTCAACACATCGCATCGTATTGCCCCAATACCAATGTCGTCATCGTCGACAACATCATTAACGACATCACTCATCATCATCATTGCCAACATGCACCGTGCACAACATCCTCCGTGAACGTCGTTATCAGCCACGAACCGTGTGAGGGGTGTGCCCAGCGGGTCGGGCGGGGACATATGGATGTCGTACGCAACCGTGTGAGGGGTGTGCCGACTGGGCCGTCATCATCGTCGACATCGTCCATAGCCGTTCTGGCCCAATGTAGCGTGGACGTGTTCCAATAGATTGCCAGAGCCGCTGCGCGCGGCCGCGCACTGGACAAGAACGAGGGGCGAGATTGACACAACATCAGAAATGTTGGCGCCTCCTGTCTTAAGCAGGGTTTGCTGAACAAAGCGTGGGAGGACCCGCGGTCTCTTGCAGTGCGATCGACTACGAGCGACGGTGCGCCACTCACCGTTTCAGACACGATGAAAGAGAACGAAAAACTTGGCGAGACGGTTTTCAAAAGATATGGAAAAAGCTGCCATGAGTTTCTCGTCGGAAACCAGTACTACAAAGTGATCAACAACATTGGCCAAGAATGGGCGCGCGCTCTGCCCATGGACCCTCGCCCATTGACAAAAGGAAAAACAGCAATTGCGGAATTCGCCGCGTTTCGCGACGTTGGTGCGACTCTTCGTTCGGCAGGGTTCCAGGGCGAAGTACTTGAACACTATTGTTGGGACAGAGCAACATGCAACGCATTATCTCGCCTGGTGAAAGTTTGGCATCGCGCAGTGCAGTTCCGTCCAACGGATCAGGCGCCAGGTGATACTTTGCAGGAAACACAGTTTGTCGTAACCACAGCTTGCGCATGTCACGACGCCAACAAAGCAAATTCATGGGCCCTTTGGACGGAAACAGAAAACCAGGAAACATTGAGAAACGTACTTGTTGCTGCAGAGGCTGTTCGTCATTCTCCAAATATATTCAAATACCACATGGACGAATGGCTTTTCAAACGAATCGTTTTCGCGCCGTCGTTGACAGAGGAAGAATTCGACACATTCAGATTGACGTGGGGTGCCCTAGGGATGGCAAGTTCAGTGGTAGATATGCTGTGTGATGAATTTCAATTGGGATTCAAAAAACGACCAGTTGCTTATACATTGCGCAGTGAAAAATAGACGCGACATCGCCGATACAGTCAGGGGTGTTCCGCTAAAAGGATGGAGCTTAACGGTTCACGGAGCCACGGTGGATTACAGTAGGCGTTGCATCGCAGGGAATTGTGTTCGCAATGCTCACTGGAATGAACAATCTTGTTGATTACATTGTCAATGCAACAAAATCCAGTAACTTCTTTTTGCATGGTATGGTATAGGCTGGATCAACCTGGCCTTGAGTTTGTTGTAACCCAAGCATTGGTCGTTCGTGTAAGCGAAAGTCTGTTGCACGAGCTCCAGGCCGATGGCAGAGTAGTCAAGAGGGTTGAAGAATTGTTGCAGGTTTTACAAGGTGAAATCACATGGCTGGTGCACTTACCAATTGAAGTATTCTCTACGATCGGCACAGCATGCGACATGAACGGTCAGGAACTCTTCGACGTGGCAGCTCGGGCAGGACACGTAGTGATCGCCTTCTGTCAGTATCGCATTTTCGACAGGCTCCGCGAATACCCCTTCTCGCTCGCACTTGGTAGTGACGATGATATACAAAGGCAACCCGAGAACTTGAAGGATGGCCCCGAGCCCGACGAACAGTGCGCCAACCAGATGTGGCATTTATTGCAGAATGGGTGCAGCATGTCTCGTCTGCTCCGTGTAGTGAAGGCTTTGCAGGGCTTGGAGTGGGCGACCGTGACAGCAGAGCAGCTGCGCACTTCTGCAGCGCAGCTCATACGCCGACATCCCGAATACGGTTGTGAAACTCTGGTGGCCAGGAGCTCCGTAAACACATGGGACAAACTGTTGCCGAGGAAAACCGCTGATGAGAAACGTATGGAGAAGTTAGGCAAGGGCGTTGAAAAACTTCAGCGGGCAAACCCTTGGAAGAGCGGAGGGCGGCAGTTGTTCTTCCGAGATCTGATGGGCGTGGCTCGCCAGAAAACGTGGAACTTCAAACCAGTCGATGCGCAGTTGCAGGTCATGGCTAGACGCTCCGATACATGGTTTAACAAAACTTCGCGAGTCAGGCGGCGCTACGAGCAGCAGGCCATGGCTCGCGCCAGCACGAAACAGCAGGAAATCTCTGAGGGGATCGAGCACCTGCAGGCGGCTTTACGTCAGCACAGGAGTCGGATGTTGGAGGAGGCGGCGGCAAGCAAACCAGTGCACATGAGTGGATGCCACCTCGCTACGTCGGACTTCGCCTACTTCGAGATGCTGTGGCAGTCGGAACATTTCACGGCGGAGAGATGCACCCAGCGTCTGAGGCAGTACATGGTGGCACCGAATCCTCCGGCCAGAGAAGAGATCGTGAATCTTCAAGAACACGTCGTCTGGGAGCCTCTGCCGAAGGATACGGCCGCATGGATTCGAAAAATTAGCGACAAGCGAGTGTTTTTTTTTCAAAGGCACCGCGTTCTCGATCAATCTCCCTAGTGGGGTCGGCTACTTCAAGTTCGTGTTCGCCGCGCAATCTCCAGTCCATGTCTCCGTCAGTGAGCTGACCAAGATTGCTCGGTACCAGTCTGCCGACGTTGTCACGTCGGAGAACTGGGGCAGATTAGCTATGGACGATAAGGGCAATATGTTCACGGTAGACTTCATGTTTAATCTGAGCGCTCACGACCTTCCGATCGTGGGCAACGACCAGGTTAGCGTGTTGACAGGCTTGCATCATGTCGGAGGTGGTACGTTGGTAAGCTATGACAAGTGGGTGCCCTTCGACACGTATGTTGTTGGCCTGCCAGATCCAGGGCCAAGGGCGCCGTCGAACTCGACGAAATCTAACAACACGGAGGACTTGATTCGACTGATGCCTTGGCTCCAGAAGTGCTGGGACAAGCGTCCAAACCAGCACGCCGACAGCGGCGAGCCCGTGCGTCGTGAGCCGCCATGGCCAGTCCAGGAGCTCAGCGACGAGGCCATCGAGGAGGTCTTCGCTGAGCTTGATCGGCGGAGGCAACACCTCGCGGACGAGGAGATCGGGGTGCTCGGCGACGAGTTCCGCACCAGGATTCTTGGGGGCGCGTGGACAGCTGCGCACGTCGGCGTCGCAGCAGATGCGGTTGCTGGCGAGGCTCGTGGCGCCCTAGCCAAGAACTTTTGTAATAAATCCATTCTTCGAAAGATGGCACGATTCGATTACGCCGCGCATCCAGAGGGCATTCCTGCCATTTTAGCGAGAGCATGGTGCCACATAATGCAGTACTTCTACAACCTCGATGCTGCTCATGGTGGAGTGCCAGATTACAGGATTTCGCCCGCGGACGTGGCAGGATGCGCAGAGACAGCCGAGTTTACCGAGGCCGTGGTCGACCTCGCAGGACACGTCCAGGGCCAGCACAGGATTGCACAGATCAGAGGGATTCTTGCATGATGTACAGAAGATCAAACGGTGCTGGACCCGTTGCAATGAAACGTGGAGGTGATGGTGTATTAGAAGAATATTCAAAATCTGAACGCTTCGCGTATCTTGACTCTTCGCGTATCTAGACGCTTCGCGTACCTGGGCGCCTCGCGTATCCCCGCCAGCCCAACCAGAAACGATGCCCAGGCGAATGGAGGTGTTCTTGCGAGAGGTTCTCGGAGGTCTCTTGGAGCCATCTTGGAACCATTGTCGGGCTCTCTTGGGGGGGGGGGGGGGGGGGGGGGGTCGCGGGGCCCTCTTGGGGCTTTGTGGGTCCATCTTGGGGGCGTTATTGGGGCTCTTTGGGGAGGGGCTCCTAGCTAGTTGCCAAGTTGCTAAGCTGCGAAGTTGCGAACAAGGTGCCACATTGCCAAGTTGCGAGTAATCTTGGGATGTCCGTCATCCACCTTCCCTCCCTCATCCTCCTCCTCGTCCTGCTCCTCGTCTTGCTTTTCAGTAGGCATTGGGGCTCGAGCAAGGCAGGCGCTTTGAGACAACAGCTGATCCCACACTCGCCCAGTTTACTATTATGCCGTGCGCACCTCGCGTGGTGGCGCCACAGTTTATGATAATCAATAACGTAGTGTGCGACGTGCCTTTCTTGCAGTACGACCAGGCTCAAGACTGCCACTGGTGTCTCGCAACCACTTGTTGAACAAGAAGCATAATAATGCTGCTTACGCATGGATGTACGATGCGTGCGATGGCCAATATCCAAGGTATGATGTGAGGGAGGCGAGGTGGGACAGCGTCCATGACAACGTATAGTATCAGTGGGAATGGAGCCCCAAAACGAAGAAGTGGGGCAAGCAGCCCGACGGCAAGGGCAAGCACTGGGGGAAGGGCAAGCGGGGCAAATGCAATGCCGATCCGTGCCACTGGGTGCCGGAGTCTGGACAAGAGGAGGAGCATGATGAGTCGGTGAGCAGTGCCAGTGCCGCAGGGCAGGGTCAGGACGACAAGTGGGCTTGGGCACCTCCGCGCGCACACCAGCAACAGCCGCGACAGGCTGCTCCAGGGACTACTCCCATGCAGCAGTTTAGCCTTGACGATCAGGAAGCCACCCCCGAGGACGGCAACGGCTCCGAGGCAGGGAAGGGGGTTGGCGATGAACAGGACGGAAAGCCAAGCGCTTGTAACAGAGGCGCGTTGGCGGCGCACTCGGAGTGGGCAGTGCGTGGCCACCTGGCCAACGTCTTCGATGCGCTCTGTGACCGCGCCCTGGAGATCAAGGAAGAGATCGTCGTTCTCCGAGAGACGGCCGAATCGACGGATGAGAAGCGCGAGGAGTTCTTCAAGGAACACGCGGCGATGATGCAGAACACGGGTAAGGATTCTGAGGCGCTTCTGCGCACCTTGTCGACCATGACCGAAACCATCGCATCAGTGGCCACGACCCAGAACTTTCAGATGCAAAAGGTGGCGAATGCCATCGACAAGTGGACGACTGCGCTCGAGCACTTCGATCAGCAGTACACGAAGGCGCTCGAGCTTTTCGACAAGGTGAACGAGACCAACGAGCACTTAGGCAAGATTGCCATCATGATGACCGAGGGCCTGGAGATCACGCGGGCGGCGCGCGACGCTGATCTGGCTCGGTCGGTGCGCGAGGCGGCCCTTGGCCGCGCGAACTCCTCTGCCGCAGGCTCGGGGCGCGAGGCAGCTCCTGGCCGCTCGGCTAGCGCAACGACGCTGGCAGGCACTGGGCCGACGAAAAACCTTGGACCATCGTCGCCGAAAGTGCGCGGCGGTCTGGCGGTCATTTGTTTGCCTGAACAGGCCCTCCTTTGCAGCAGCTACGGCGCGCAGCACCCGAGATGCACAATAATCGGCCAGTGCCCGAGCGACCGAGGGCGAAGAGGAAAACACCCTAACCAGAAAAAAAACAAAGCTTTAGGGTCTTGGGGCCTTAGGCGTCTCGGGGATTTGGGCGTCTTGGGGCCTTAGGCGTCTTGGGACCTCTTGGGGCCTTAGGGGGCCTTAAGCGTCTTGGGGCCTTAGGCGTCTTGGGGCCGCCTTGGGCGTCTTGGGGCCTTAGGCATCTTGGGACCTCTTGGGGCCTCTTGGGGCCTTAGGCGTCTTGGGGCCTCTTGGGGCCTTGGGGGGCCTTAAGCGACGCGGGGCCTTTGGCACCTTGGGGCCGCCGTAGGCGTCTTGGGGCCTTAGGCGTCTTGGGGCCCTAGGCGTCTTGGGGCCGAGTAGGCGTCTTGGGGCCTTAGGCGTCTTGGGGCCTTAGGAGGCTTGGGGCCTCTTGGGGCCTTAGGCGTCATGGGGCCGCGTCTTGGGGCTTCTTGGGGCCTTAGGCGTCTTGGGACTTCTTGGGGCCTTAGGCGTCTTGGGGCCTTAGGCGCCTGGGGGCCGCGTGGCGGTCCAGTGGGATGGGTTGGGCAGTTTCAGCTCGGAAACAGAAAATGCGGGCCCTTGTGGATTTGCGCGTGGATTAGCGGTGGCAGAAATTCCGACGCTGGGGCCCGTGAAATCACACATGAAAACAATCCGGCGAGGTTGAAAACATCCGGCACACATCCGGCGCTAATCCGGCACAAATCCGGCGACTAATCCGGCGAGCCCCGTCGCCCTGCCCACCCGGCCTAACCCGGCAGCCTCGTGGAGATCCTGCCTCAATCTGGCTTGGGTCCCGAAAATACCCGAGAGTTCCGGTGGGTCCGGTGGGTCCGGTGGGTCCGTGGGGCCAGTGGATCGGAGCGAAATGGTCCGGTGGGCCCAGTGGTTCCTCACCCTTCTTCCAATCCTTAGCCATTTGGGCTCAAACTGCAGGACGCCGCGTTCCGGCTGCAGACTTGCAGGCGGCCTCTTCGAGCCCGCTCAGAGAGGGGCGGTTTCGGGGGCACTGCCAATGTCCGCCCAGAAGAGGGCCGCCTCCGGTAGCAGGTGTGGGAACGTCGTCAAGAAGCCCGCGGGGAGCGATGCCAAGCTCGCCGACATGGTGAGGAAAGCATTGTATGATAATTCCAGGAACTGGCCCGAGGAACTGATTTACGTAAAACAAGTCGACGGAGTGACGCTGTTCGATAAGATCACCGCCGACAAGAAAGCAGGTACCATCACCATGGGCGGCCCATACTACGAGAAGCTGCGTAGCAAGTACAGGTCCGAGACACACATCACGAATGCGTTGGCGGCGGCTAGCGCGAATGAGTCGGTGCACCCCGACCTCGTGAAGGCAATGATCAAGGCAACGGCTGCTCGCGCGGATAGGGCTCCCATGCAGGCGTTCTTCGTCACCTCGGACACGAAGCCTAACCAGAAGGAAGCAGTGGGCATCCTGAAATTCCTGGCGAGCCTTAAGCCCACGTGTAACCACCAGCTCAGGGTTGGCTTAGACGGCCTGGCGTACTGCGAGCGCAACGGCGTCCACATTGACTTCAATCGCGAGTGGGAGCTCGTCAAGACATACTGCCAGGACATAATGGCGAAAACCTTCGTGCGGGCGGTCCGTGCAGATGGTATGGACATCAAGACCTTCTTGGAGCTGCACTCCAAGGTCTTGGCGACGATGTTCCCGAAGAAAGAGTTCGACGCGTTCATGGCCCACACAGGCGACTTCCTGCTGATCAAGGAAACGGTCTCCAAGCTCTACTGCCGCTCCGACCTCGGCCACCAGCTCTTCGGCAACATTGTGTCGCGCCTCGCGAACGAGGACGTGGCCAGGATCGTCCACTCCTACGTGACCCAGCTTAAGGACATGAACATCACCGCACAGATCTTGGCTCAAAAGAAGTCTCAGTGTCTCGCTAAGATCAACCGTCTGCCCAGCACCACCTCGCTTAAGGCTTGCAGGACCGTCGCCTACAAGTACGGCGTCCACAACACTCTCGAGCGCGAAGTGTCCAGCTTGGTAGATGAGGTGTCCTGGAAGTTCGCTTGCATGTGGAAGGCGATTGCGGTCTGCAAGAAGCAGTTGAAAACGTTCAGTTTCGAGGAGGTCGTCTGCCCCAAGATGGATGTGCCTGGGGCTGGCTCGGTAGCAGAGGACCTCTGCGCCACGCCTATCGTCGCCCGTGCCGCGCTGGAGCAGGCATTGGAGAACGCTAACCTCGAGAACCAGGCTGACCTGGTATCCTTCGTCTTGTCCCGCTCGGACGCTTGGTTGGCGACAGATCGGGACTTCGGGGTCGAGATCGCGATCATGAAGAGCTTGGGTGGCAACGTGGGCAAGGTGCTCTTGAAAAGCCTCATGCGCGCTGCTATGGTGAACCGCTCTCCGTCCGACTGCCTCGCGTCCTTTCAGACCATCAGTGGCAAGCCAGAGTGCAAGCTCGCGGGCAAGACCAGCCAGGTCCAGTTCGACATGCTGCACAAGATCATCGGGCGCATCGTCGATGGCAGGAGCCCTGAGATCGACAAGGCAGCTCGAGATACGGACATGCTCAAAGACTTGCTGGTGCTCATTCCAGACTTCCTCGTGGCGGAGGCCCCGAAGGACGGTGGTGGCAAGGAGACAGTTACTGGCGCTAGGGCTTTGGCGGTGCTCTACCCGGAGGTGAAGGCCGAGGTCGACAACAGTAAGGGCACGGTGCAAGACATCGAGCCGTTCGTCGTGTACTCCTACTTGGCCGGGGCAGCTGACCAGCTCAGGTACAGAGCCATGGTGGACATGGTCAGGCAGAGGGTCGGCGCCGTGGCTGCTGGGAGGAGGGTGCGCAGCAAGGGTGGTGCCTCTGCATCGGCCGCGTCATCGAGCAGCACGGCGGCGGACGCTGCCGTCCAGAGTGCGATGCAAATGTTCACCTAGACACCGAGGGTGGCGTCCTGAACGCAGGGGGGGCCCCGTGGCTGCAAGCGGCACAGGGGACCGACAGCATGCCTGCCTTGGCCCTTGTGGGGGGACAAGGGTGGGATGCTGCCTCCTGAGAGGCGGCCGCTCGGCAGTGCACTGTCTTTTACAAGAAGTTCAGAGA